TGTTGATAGGTCTGTCCCTGGTGATTATGAGGGGCTTAAGGACAAGACCTTGATTGTATAACTGACGTGCTAGTACTTAACCCAGTGCTGTTAACAAAGAGAAAAAGTAATAAAAGCTTTACTGAGCAGATAAATGTTCTTATAACTGAAATATTCTCTAAAAAATCTGAAAAACAGTTTCAGTTATTACTCTCCAAAAAGAAAGAAATCTAAAAAAGGATTTTCCCCTTTTGGCTTTTTAAGGAAATTGAAAAAATGTTTTCCCTTACTTTTTCTGGCCATTTTCATCTTTAGTTTTGTTAATTTCAATAACAGTAATACTGTTGACTTTTAAAATTGTTGTTCAAAACAATAATGAAATCACATAAAGATCATAACTAAGAAATTAATACATTCAGAAAAAAATAAAAAGAGCATAGATATAACCCTTCAAGCTAAATCAAATAGTAAGCCATCCTTACACTGTTAAACCAAACCAATTCTTACCGAGCTGTTTATTTTGTTTTAACCTCAAGGCTGACTGTCACTGATAACTAGTCTTTGTGATTGATAACTATCTTGGACCACAGTAAAAATCAATATATGGTTCCATTTTGCTGATGAAGCTATAGCCGAAAGGCGCAAATTTAATTCCTCACCTGGTATATGCCTGAGGATTGCTCTGTTTGGTTTTTTTGGTTGTTGTTTGTTTGTTTTGTTTTTCCTCTTCATTTTGGATTCAGAATAGAAAAAAAATGCAGTTTTAGTAAATGTTTATGTTTAAAATGAGACACACTGCTTTTGACTGCTTCATAGGTCTACATGTTTCATGGAAAACTGCCAAGAGCATTGAACTTCAATATAAGAGTAGAGAGCAGTTTTCCCAACTGTGTAAATATATTATGTTCTGGACACTCTGAACTATTGACCTTCTCTGAGGGAGATGCTACTAAAATGTCAGTTAATCATACAGCAGTTCCAAAATAGGTTATGAAGAAGCAGAAGGCAATTTAAAAGAGCAATTTTAACATGCAACTGCCAAAGCATGCAATGCAGACAACTTCTGATGATGGCATATTTTATTTCCATTTAATAGGAGAAAGTGAAACTGTATTTTCTTAGCTGCTGTACCAGATGGTGTACCCAGAGGAAACACACAAGAAAAAAAAAACCCAAAAAACAAAAAACTTTAATTGTTCAATGGAATTTTTGAATTATTACCCATTTAAGACAACTTCATATATATACCTGTTCTAAAATTTATAAAATGCCTGAAGAAGCATTATGTGAACAATAACATGGGTCAAGCTGTAAGCTAACAGTGAAATAATCATACCACTCAGACGCATGGAGAGGCACACAGCAGGCATAGGTGGCTTCAACCACCAGAGGCTGTAATTACCACCTGTCCTAACTTAAGAGACCCTGAAGCGGGTAATTGCACTTACCAAATGATTTTAATGTACTTTAGAAAGAACACAAAAAATAGTTTTTGGCAACCAGGCAGGATATTTTCCGAAAAGGATAAAGTGAAACATTTTTTTACACTTCCTTAACTGTTTAAAATATTTAAAACACAGCACATATTTGAGTGTTAAGTACACCATTCAATTGTCCTTTCAATAAAAGTGAAGTGAAAACACTGAGCTATATTTCTCAAGGAGTAAGTCAGCTGTTCAGATACTATTTTTTAAAGTGTACATGCCTCCCAGTTTTTACCTATTGTACTTTCATTTATTCATACTAGCGTGAGGGGGAAAAAATAAAAACACCTAAGGTAGGAGTAAGAGAGGACAGAGTACAGGCTTTTTAAATACAAGAAAATGGGGTTGAGATCGAACTATCCAGCTGTCAGACCCCGGACAAATCACTCCCCTGCTCCCGCCCCCGAGTCTTATATTCACCATTTTAAAATTGAGATAACAATACACCTAACTGATAGGATTGGTATTCAAATCAAATAACATTATAGACTTACCTAATATAGTGATTCTAAAGTAGTATAGCAATAATGAGCAATGAAAATCTATATTTGGATTTGCAAATGTAAAATTTATTCATTAATACACATAAGTAAAACCATTCATGTGACTTGCTGGAAAAATACTTAATGATCGATTTCTGCCAAGTAAACATTTACTACTGCCAGAAATAAAATGCCAATGGCTTAAATAGTGGAATTTTCAACATAGTAAATAGTAACTAATTTATTCTTTTGTACTTAAAACCAAACTCATTGCCGTAAAGTCGATTCTGATTCATAGTGACTCCATAGGACAGAGTAGAACTGCCCCATAGGGCTTCCAAGACTATAATCTTTATGGAAGCTGACTGCCACATCTTTCTTCCATGGAGTGGTTGGTGGGTTCAAACAGCTGATGTTCTGATTACCAGCTGAGCGTTTAACCATTACACCCCCAGGGTTCCTTAAGAGAAACTGAAGTACTGTTTTATTAAGAGCATTACAAGATTACAGCCTTGGAAACACTATGGGGCAGTTCTACTCTGTCTTATAGGGGTGCTATGAGTTGGAATCAACTCAATGGCAATGGTTATGGGCACAGTTTCTCTTGAGGATCCCTGGTGGTGCAATGTTTAAATGTTCGGCTGCTATCCAAAAGGCTATCAGTTCAAACCCAATAGCTGCTCTGTGGAAGAAAAGACCTGGCAATCTGCTCTGGTAAACATTACAGCCTAGGAAACCCTATGGGGCAGTTCCACTATGAGTTCGAATTGACTCAACGGCATGCAACAACACTTTCTCTTTAATCTATAATGAACTTGAAAATCTAGTCTATAAGCACTTTTTTCCTAAAAATTTGCATCAGATACACACTATGAGCCCTTTAATTAACTATAATACACTTGTGTGATAAAGGTGCACAACATGTGAAAGATAGTTTTAAAAACAAATTTTCTACAGTGGCAAGTAAAACTGAAAGTGAGTGAGCCTGATACTATTTTATGCCACAGAGTCCACAAATTAATGCTTCTCAAAGAATCAGAAAAAAAGACCCAATATCATATAATTCTAAAATGTCAAGACATTTATAAATTTGAAAGCAGTTATGAGTATGTTATTTTTACTCAATCTCCTCCCATTCAAATAAGGTTATTCTCAAAACAAAATCCCTCAAACAGTTTATAGTCACATTTTTACTTACCAGAGTTCAATATGTACTCTAAACATAAGCACTCAACAGGGATAAAGCAATGTTCATTACTGTGTTGTTTTCATCCACTTAATAAAACATAACTAGCTTAAAAACACAATCTCATTTACTTAGATTCTCCATTGGCTTTCATACCAGTGACCAATTTCTAATAATTTCTAGGTTAAAAAAATTACATTACATTAACAATACGTGTATGGCACTGCTAATTTTTTAAAGGTCTATTTTGATGATAACAAAAAATAAGAGCAGATGAGACCTTAAAACAAAGAAATTTGGGCACAGGAAGCTAGAGGAAAACTGCTGGAATAATAAGCTATCGTTGATGATTATAACTTTTATATACCTTAGAATGATTAAATGTAGAAACAAAAAAATTTTAGCACAAAACATGTATAAGCAACAGCCTCAGTAAAATGGACTCCATTGGTAATGCTTTTTCTGTGTTAGTGATGGATATTAATTTTGGGAGAGACTGAGCTACTTCTCAGTTTTCACATTGTTTCCCCTTGAAATTATTTCTTGGACTAAATGAGGCTGTGGGGTCAACTTGCCTTTCCCTCAAAAAGTTTTCCTACTACTATCACAGGAAGAATTTGTTACATTACCTCAAGTAGGTGGATTTAACTCTACAGAAAGTTAAAAAGCAAATCGAGTGATTCAGGCTGAGCTATGGAGATTTATCCAGCAACTTCTAGGTTAAGCTGCTTTTCAACCACTTGATAAGTTTATGACACCAGTCAACAAATTAGTGGGCTCTTTATTGTCTAAATCTCAAAATAATGATTGAGCAATTAAACTTTCTATAAAAACTGAGCTGGATTAAAAAAAAGAAAACTTTAATGATTATAGTATATCAGCTAATTGAGTGGGTAGCCACAGAACATTGTTAATGCTAAACAGATGTTCAAGAACCAAGATATTTTATAAGCACTTATATTTTCTAAGATCCCCAGTCTTAGTTTTTAATTTTCAGAACTTAAATCTTTAAATGTTCATAGATGAATACACTAACTCTGCAGGTGTTTCAACAAAATGCATGATGGACACAAAATGCCTCTTTAAAAATTAAACTAACAGCTTTCAATAATAATATAAACACAGTACTAAAATGTTACTCAAATAACTTAGATTATTAAACTTTTTAGTGGTTTAATAAATAGCTAACAATTTTTCCTAATAAGGCACCAGGATGGTTGTTTATGTATTATTTTTTTATTTCATTTTCTATTCTTTGTGTTTTCTTCATATGCTCCTATTTTCACCACTCTAGCTCAGGTATGAGGAGGGCAATAACAAGGCTCAAAAATTCAAGGAAAGCTTTTCTGTATTTTACAGCTGGATGTCAAGCTACTGAGCCAGTGGGGAACATTCAACTGTAAGAATTTCCTAAGCAGGAGTTACTCCACTGAGGAACTATACCAGTGGAACTTTTCTTGTCTATGTTATATAAGATATAGTCACTGCACTGACTATAATTATTGAGGAAGACAATTTCCAAGCGGTAGAAACGTATTCAGTATTTGCTTGAACTGCAAAGGTCTTCTCTCTCAATAGTACTTTCACCTGCATCTACTAGAGATTTTTTTGGACCAAATACACGGCAGGCTGAGCAAATTTACCATGTAAGAAAATACTATAGATTCATAATAATAATGGAATGATAACAGAGAAGCTCTCACACTTCTCTGAAATCATAAAGTTATGACATGGTCAATGATTTACTTAGTTCACTGGAATTCTTAGAGTAATGTGACACATTCATTACCAAATAACCACAACTGTTAATATTGTATGCCTTTTGCTACATTCCTTCATAAAGCAGAATGCTTTGCTATTCAGTCTTACCTGCGCATTTGGTTCTGGTAATTAGTGGAGGTCCTGGAAGCCCTGTTCCACCTTCACCAGGTCTTGTAAGTAGAACACGGATCTCATATTCAGTATCTGGATCCAAATGCCATAATTTATAAGTTGGAGCGTTGACTGCATGGGTTTCTGTCCAGGATCCTGATGTCATTCTGTACTCCACTTCTTTCAGGATAATGGGACCATCGCCAATGATGGAGTTGGCATTTAGTTGAATCAGCAAATATGTAGGCCCAACACCAAGTAGCTGGGGAGGAGCAATGGGTCTTGGTGGTTCTAGGAAAGATGAATATGCAATCTAGTTAGTTAAATAAACAAAACACTATAATACATAGCTATATTAATGTTTCTTAAAGCCCGGGGGCTTAAGAATGATTTATTTAGGAGTACATGATAAATATTGAAAAGAAAACCCAGATATGAGTTGTCTGGCAACTGCACTCTTAAAGAGTAAATACTTTTGCTGACGGAATATGACCCTTTATAGCACAGCTTTTCCTTTACTAAAAAACATGGCTTTCCAGGAAATAAACTTATAAAGATCAAGTATACAAAAGAAATAAAGAGAAAATATTTAGAGATGGCTAGCTCTGATTAGCTATTCACAGAGTACAGTTAACCTTTGACATTTTTAAGATCCAAAGACCTTTGTAAATCTCCAAGTTAATGAACACTGCTGTAACTCATGATTTCAATCATGAAATACAGCCAAGCAGCGTTTTTGTTTTTCCTTTGTTTTTTACTGCTTTGGAATTCTTGCAGGAGAGAAAAAGAGAAAGGCAAAACAGAGCTGAACTCAGAAGCTAATGCTAGGCACTGACTTGCTTCCACATACCCATCTCACAGTGGGAGAAATTAAAATTTTCACCTAGACAAAATCACGAATCACTATCCTGTCACTTCACATTTAGGAGTAGCATATGAGAACACAATGCATCAAATATTAAACTCAAATGTCAAAGGTAGACTGTAATTTAATTTTTTAGAGCAGAAGATATTTTGCTTGAAAGGAACTTTGGGAAACATTATTTGAATGTCTGAATTTAAAGAAATGATGAATTAGAGCACAATTTTTAGAGTCCTTAACATCAATATAGCTGAAATTAGATACTGGACTTTAGAAAAGGATCCACAACTCTGACTCTATTTAAACGTCTGTCCATAGGGGATGCTGTATCATGAAGATCTAGTTAGTCAATTGTGAACAGCTGAGGATTTCTTTGAAACTATAGAAGAACCTTATTAGAAAAGCCAGAAGACTTTAAAGGAAAGAAAAATTAGCATTAATCTTATTAAAGTGATAACTGCTCAAAACCTGATTTAAAAAAATTTTTTAAGAGTTAAGGTAACTATTAAATATAAGTAGGTAGATTGGACAAGACGCAGATAGAGGGGAGTTAAGAACATACAGACAGTATCATCCAGACTAGGATTTTTATTTTAATGAAAATCTATGTTTGGGATGAGGTACGATGGGAAAAAAAAAGCCTCTAGGATAGTTTATCTTCTTATATAAGTTTTAATAAAGCAAGGGTTTTAAGTTGTATTGTATAAAAGTACAGTTCCTAGCTAATGAACCCGAGTTACAAACAACCCTAACACAAAAGATAAGACTAGCCAACCTGGCCAGGATCGCTATAGAGGCAAAGACATTTTCAAGAATTTTTCTTCAAAATTCATGTGACTGATATTTATTGAGTAACCACAAATTGCTAGGTTGTTCTAGGCATTGCATATCCATATATTATGGAAGGAAGGCATAGACAGTAATATGCAATCAATAAATTCATTATTTTAAACTGAGAGTTATGTAAGGATACCGTGATAGAAAATAAAAGATGAAGGGAGGATGGTATCTAGTGAGCAACACATTTTTTTTTCTATCCAAATACTCGTGAAGAATATAACTTACTCTCATCAATAATTATGACTCATTATGGCAATAGTTTTCTTGTTACTAGTAGAAACATGACCTTGTAACTTCACTTTGCTCACATTTAAAATGAAAATAAAACTCACAATACTAAGAGAAAATAAGAAAATATATGTGCTATATAAACTGTATACATTGTTTTTATTTCTATGGGAAAATGGTTCCTAACACCTGATTTATAAACTTTAACCACAAAATCTGCTCCAAATGTTTTGCAAATTATTTCAGCAATGTGTAGTTACAATTTTCTAGCTTGTAAACATTGTTTAATTTCCTAAGTAAATTCAATGTAGAAATTATTCACAAAAGAAATAGTTTAAATAAAACCAAAACAGTTCAGAATTCTCATTTATCAGATGAAGAAAGATATGGATAGCGTACAGCCATCTAAGTATACAGCTATTGGTCTGTATTCATCTGGATCAGAACAAAATCCAAGAATCAGAGAAAGAACTGGAATACAGAACTAATTAGTCTCCATGAACCATAGCCTCCTCTACCTTGAGACCGGAAACAACAGATGGTACCTAGGTACCACTACCAAACATTATAATCAGGGTCACAATAGTTGGACCCTGATAGAAAAAGAAAAGAAAACATGGAAAAGAACTTCAAATTCTCAAAGAATCCAGACTTACTGGACCCACTGAGACTGGAGGAATCACCGATACTATTGCCTATAGATACTCTTTAAACCTTGAACAGAAACTATCCCCTCAAATCCTTTTAACTAAATAGCAGGTTAGCTGAAAAAGTAAAGAACTTCATCCTTGAGAAATGTGCTCTTCTAAAAATTATCTATATGAGACCAAATGGATAACGGTTACTCTCAAGCACAAATGAGACATTTAGGGGGCAGTGAGACTAAATGGGAATGGAACAATTAGAACACAAATAATAAAAATGTTGACACAAACTGAAGAATGTATCCAATGTCACTGTGTAAAAATTGTTGAATGGGAACCTGTTTTGCTGTATATACTTTTACCAAAAATACAATAAAATGTTAATAGTAAAAAAAAAAGATACAGATAAACATTTCATATTCTGACATTTCACCAACTAGTCTAGAAACTTTTATATTTAGAGTTTACACAAGTTTTGGTAGAGCGGGAGAAGGGTAAAGTTGATATATTTTCTAAACCTTAAAACTTAAATGAAACAAAATAGAGAAATGAACATAATGGAAAAAATGCAAATGTCTTCCCAGACTATCTGAAAGTTGCACATATTTTTAAGAAGCAGTCTGTATTTCGTGAATAAATTGAGCTGACTCATACGTGCAATGTTTGTTTTCATTCCAGATGATTCATATACTGACTAATTTCAGTAGAAAACACTGCTATATCCACAGCTCATTGGGGTTTTACCCGGAAGCAGCAGTGCCTCACTCACTTTATAGCTTACCAACAACCTTTAAGGAGGTATGATACTTAACACGATGAATGAAGAGGATTTATTTGCCAAACAAATTATAAACAACAAACCTTTGTTATTTTATAAATTTATAGGTATTCTGAAACCTGACTTAATACATATTTAAAAAAAAAAATTGCTGTTGAGTGTATTTCAACTCATGGTTACTCCACATGTTTCAGAGTAGAACTTAACTCCGTAGGGTTTTCAGTGGCTATGACCTATCAGAAGCAGATCTTCTTGAGGTTGTTGTTAGGTTGTTAGGTGTCATCAAGTTGGTTCCAACTCATAGCTACCCTATGTACAATAGAATGACACTCTGCCCGGTCCTGCACCATCCTCACAATCATTGCTATGCTTAAGCCCATTGTTGGAGCCACTGTGTCAATCCATCTCGTTGAGGGTCTTCTTCTCTTTCTCTGACCCTCTACTTTACCAAGCATGATGTCCTTCTTCAGAGATGGGTTCCTACTGATTAACATGTCTAATGTATGTGAAACAAAGTCTTGCCATACTTGCTTCTAAGGAGCATTCTGGTTGTACTTCTTCCAAGATGAATTCGTTTGTTCTTTTGGCAGACGATGGTATATTCAATATTCTTTGCCAACACCACAGTTCAAAGGCGTTAATTCTTCTTTGGTCTTCCTTATTCATTGTTCAGCTTTCGCACACATATGAGGCAATTGACAACACCATGGCTTGGGTCAGGCGCACCTTAGTCCTCAAACTGACATCTTTGCTTTTTAACACTTTAAAGTGATCTCTTGCAGCCAATTTGCCCAATGCAATGCATCTTTGATTTCTTGACCGCTGCTTCCATGGGTGTTGACTGTGGACCCAAGTAAAATGAAATCCTTGACAACCTCAATCTTTTCTCCATTTATTATGATGTTGCTTGCTGGTCCAGTTGTGAGGATTTTGTTTTCTTTATGTTGAGGTGTAATCCATACTGAAGGCTGTGGTCTTTGATCTTCATCAATAAGTGCTTCAAGTCTTCTCCACTTTCAGCAAGCAAGGTTGCATCATCTGCATAACGGAAGTGGTTAATGAGTCTTCCTCCAATCCTGATGCCCCATTTTTCTTCATATAATCCAGCTTCTTGGATTATTTGCTCAATATTTTCTTGAGATGCCCTGGGTGAATTCTAACCTTTCAGTTTGCAGCCAAGTACTTAACTGTTTGCATCACCCAAACAACCAAAAAAACAAACCCATTGTCTTCGAGTCAATTCCTACTCATAGCAATCCTGTAAGACAGAGTAGAACTGCCCTATAGGGTTTCCAAGGCTTTGAATATTTCTGCAAGCAGATTGCCACATGTTTCTCCCATTGAGAGGCTGGTGGGTTCAAACCATGGACATTTCAGTTAGCAGCCAAGCACTTTAACCACTGCTTCACCATTTCCCAGGGGATATTAAATCTCACCTATCAAAACTCTACATATCACTGCCATGAAAAATAAGGAGAAAATAAAAGAAGAGAGAAGAGGGGAGAGGAAAGGGTAGGGGAGGTTTCTCCAAGAGAAAGAAATATAACATTGGAAATAAGTGAAACAGCAAAGCAAAGCATAATGTTTCTTCTACCCTTTTCATCTTCAAGAATGTAACATGCAAAATAAAATTTGGAGTGATGAGACCTAGTTACAAAAATGCATACATAACTAATAGCTGGGTAAACTTGAACATGCTATTTAACTTCTTGACATTACAATTCCCTTACTGGTAAACTAGGCATTCTTGTAAGAATTTTAGAAGTCTCGGCATTTCAAAATACATCAACAAACCCTATATTTGATGCCATTATTTTTTGTTTTATTTTTGCCAGAGAGCACATAAATTTTAAAAGTGAAAATTAATATTCAACACTAGCGTTTTATGTATATAAAAAAATGAGTTGGATGTAACAGGGCTCGTGGCCTGAAGAAGGAC